AAAAGAAAACTATAATTACTCCAGGCAGATAAGATGTTTCAGTTGTGGCAAATTAGGACACATTGCTAGGAATTGCAGATTTGCCAACTCCTTAAGGAGAACTAATGAAGGTATGCTGAAACAAAGTACGTTAGACCTTACTCATAAAGTCCTATTTGCAAATAACTTGAAAAACAACAACTCTCAGAATATCTGGTTTCTAGACAGTGGAGCTACTGAACACATGACGTCGAACAGACTGAAAATGACTAATATAAAAAGTATTTCAACTTCTGTTGAAATGGCAAACAATGAGAGAATAAAAGTATCAGAGATGGGTGATGTAACCATCAAACTCGGTCACGAATATGGAGGTGAAACCTTGTTCTTGGAAAACGTATTATACGTTCCTGAATTAGACGGAAATATTTTGTCTGTTGGAAGGATTGAGGAAAGAGGAAACAAAGTTTTATTCCAGAATGGCAAGGCCTCTGTTTTTGGAAGTGATGGCGGGTTAATTTTGAAATCTAATAGAAGAGGAAGAATCTATACAGTGGAAGAACTAAAGATAGCAAAAGTGAAGTCACCTAGTGCAGATATCTGGCACAGAAGGCTAGGACACGTTTACAAAAGGGATCTCCAAAATGTGAGTGACACAGCAGAGTGCGAGGTATGCCTTGAGGGTAAAATGCGAAGACTCCCATTTCCTTCCAAACCTGTCGAAAGTAAGAAGACTTCATCACCCTTGGAGCTCATCCATTCGGATGTAGTAGGTCCCATTAGCCCAATGTCGAAGGGAGGGAACAATTATTTTGTGACGTTCATAGACGACTTCACCCATTACACTACAGTATATTTTATGAGATCTAAATCGGAGGTACTTGAAAGATTTAAGGAATATAAGAACAGTGTTGAGAATTACCACAGCAGAAAAATCAAAGTACTAAGAAGTGATAATGGTACGGAATATGTTAACCACGAATTTAATAAATTCCTTAATGAGGGTGGCATCAAGCGACAACTTACAGTTCCAAGAACACCTCAGCAAAATGGAACTGCAGAAAGAATGAATCAGACATTGCTAAACACAGCCAGATGCATTTTACTTAAATCAGGGATTCCCAAATCGTTCTGGGCAGATGCCGTAAATACAGCATGTCACTTAAGAAACAAATGTTCTAGCAAGGCAATAGGTAACAAAATACCAGAAGAAATGTGGACCGAACGGCCAGTGAAGATTGAGCATATCCGAGTTTTCGGTTGTCAGACCTGGACATACGACGAACAGCGTCGATCCAAATTTGATTCAAGAAGCCGAGAATGTGTTTTAATTGGTTATCCGGAAGGAGTCAAAGGATACAAGGTTTGGGATATCGGAAACAATAAGGTCTTCGTGAACAGAAATGTCAGATTTAGAGAAGATGTTTTCCCAACCAAGAAAATTGATAAACAAATTTCACATGAAACTGATTTTTTCCAGGTCTTAAATAATAATTTTGAAGAAGACTATGAATCTGTAAATGAGAAAGAGACGAAATTTGTAGAAAGAAACCAGAAAGACGAAGAACTAAAGAAGGAAGATGAAGGGGAATACCAAAATGAAGCTGCGATCCCAAGAGGATATTCAGGGACTGATGAGGAAACAATATCGGTAGAGAAAATTCTGAATAACTTAGAACGAAAAGAGGATGAAGAGCAGGCCTGTGAAGACGAAGAACTGAGGAGAGAAGACGAAGAGGAAGGCCAGAATGAAACTATAATCCCAAGAAGATCTTCAAGAGTTGCGGCTTGGCGGAGGGAGTATTGCAGATTTTCTAACTAAGGGAATTGGAAGAATTAAACTGACCAGGATCTTGACCACTCTAGGCCTCCGATGAGGGTATGAAAACAACTTTAAAATGGGGGGCATTGTTAGGATTTTTATAAGTTGTTTTTTCATAGATTAATTTATTTATATTTTGACCAAATGACCGGACGACTTTACATGTATATAATTAGTTTTAAATGATGTAAATCAGTTAGTCATGAAAGGAAATTAAAGGTATTAATTTTCTTAGAGGTGTTTGTGTTTACTCTGCTCGATTGTAGACTAGGAAAGAATTGGTTCCTCTCTAACACTTTATTTATAAGCTCTTTAGCCAACTATTTTTATAACGGGACATTATTTTTCTCAAATATTTATCAACAAAAAAACCGGGAACATATTGATAAAATTATCCTTCTTCTTCCTCTTCTTTCTTATCTCTACTCAATCATATTAGGGTGTCAAGCTTGTAAAGGTTGAGACTTTTGATGGTGTCTGCCGGGGAAGAGTAGAGCTCACAATGGTTAAGTCAATACAGTCAATAATGTGGTTTAGGGTTGCAGGTTGAGAATTGCACTTAGTACATAGTGGATTAAAGAAACACCTCTAAATTGGTATAATGAATCTATTCAGAATTATATATAGAAAATTATGCTTACAGGATAACGTAAATTACCATATAACAGAAATAATTAAAGTTGAAAATTTTGCCTGTGAATTATTGATATAAAAATATAAAAGGTTTCCACTCTCTCCAGTCAAAATAAATCCAAAACTACATGTTCTTCTACTACCTATTTTGATGGAAGAGGTAGCCCATTTTAGAATGATAAAAAATAGACTCCCTCCAAAATTTCCACTACAATTTGGTAATAAAATTGATCTTGATAATTTAACACTTCTTTGGTAAATTTTGAAGATTTATTTAATTCTTTTTGGATTTCGTGAAATCAAAGCCTGCTCCGGGCTGAAGAGGGATATAGCTTGAAACCGTGATTTTATTTGCCAAAGCTGGTGCTGTGGTTTGTCATCGCCTAGAAACTACTACATTGTAGAGACGATATATAGATGGCGTATACTATTTGCTTTTTTAAAATTTGATTAAAGATTAAAACTACAAAGGGGGATCAATAAATAAGGTGAATTATCTTATTTCTTAGAAATTAAAAAAGCAAAAATATTTTAAACCACAGAATATTAAAATATAACATCGAGAGACTATTTAAGGTGTTCTGTTCTTTTTTCCCACGCGCGGCGCGAGACTTATAAATAAACTAAAATGGAAGCTCCCTTGAAGGATTGCACCACGCTTGAACAACCCGCTCATCGCCTGGTCCAGGACCCTCCAGCGCCGAGGTCTCCTACTTTTAGCCCCCTTGTAAATTTGTATATTATATATGTATATATTTAATTATTTTTGTATATATTTTCTTCTCTCTCTCTCTCTCTCTTTGATATGTAACATTGTCTAGAAGACAATAAATAATGTTTAATTGTCAAAATTGTCACGCTTGAACAACGTGCAGTTATTTGTTTCTTGAATTCAGAAGGTATTCAAACATATCAAATATGCCAAAGAATGAAAAATATCTATGGTGAGTCTTGTTTGTCTCAAAAAAACATATATAAATGGGTTAACGAGTTCAAAAATGGACGAATTACATGTTCCTCAGGTCTCAACGTTCGGCCGGTAGAGTTTTGTTAACAATTTTTTGGGTTGTTGATGAACCAATCTGTCTTGATTTTTTATCCTCAAGGCAACGTATGAACAGCGACCTTTATTGTGACATTCTTGTAAATAAGCTAAAGCCCGGTATAAGAAACAAAAGAAGAGGGAAGCTTAGTAAAGGTGTTCTCTTCCTTCATGATAATGCAAGGCCGCATACATCATGTAAAACTGTATCTACAATCATTAAATTAGGTTTTGAAGTTTTAGAACATCCTGCATATAGTCCAGACCTAGCCCCCTCTGACTATTTCCTTTTTGGACTACTAAAGAAGGAGTTAAAGGGAAAGCGATTCGACTCGGATGAAGATGTCCAGAAAGTGGTGCAAGATATTTTTCACACGCTTCCTAAGAGTGCCTATAAAGAGGGTATTTACAAGTTGCCAGAACGATGGAGACGATGTATAGAAAGCCAAGGTGATTATTTTGAATAAATCAAGTCTTAATTTTTAATATCGTTCTAATTTTTTTTAATAAATTATAATTCACCTTATTTATTGATCCCACCTTGTATTATTTTTCAAAATCAATATATAAAAATTACATCTATTTTGGATCGAAAATTGATTTATTCATAAATCATTATAGGTGTAGCGATTATTGAATAATATCTGGCTAGGACATGGTATTTATTTGATTCTTTCCTAATTTACATTTGCTTTGACCTGGAAAGGTGAGACTATATTAGAAAGAAGGACGTTTAACTAAGAATTAAAGCTGTAACAGTCAACATGAAAACAAAGGATAGTGGAATTTTCATTTGTAAAATAAAAACTTTCTCGGAGAAACTATTATTTAAAAAGTCACCAAATAAAGTATTTAATTAACAAAATGAATATGTATTTAACTATAAACACTGCACTCAGTCTCCATTCTCAATAAAAAGTAAAATTTTAAAGCCAAACGATAGACCCCTCTCATTAACCCTAGAAAAAGCGCGGGAAACGCTAAGCCTAGAGTGTAACAAAAAGACGATCAATATTCCGATACTTTGAGGAATATCTAAACAAAAGAACTAATTGCTGCCTTCTCCAAATCCAAGTACAGATGTATGACAGCTCATTGACATATCGACAGTATATCGTCTGCAATTCAATTTATCGTCTGTTACCAAATGATTTTTACCCAAATCTTTTGTCAACAAAAATTGCGCTGCTGTCAACAGACAATTGATTTATTTATTCAATATTATTAAGCCCAATAATATTATTTCTTGTAGATTTTAATATAGTATATATAATCTTATTATATCCAATTTTTCAGAATGAGAGAGAGAGCGCCGTCCTCTATAGAGAAATATAAATAAATGTAAACTTATGATAAATATATTTAGATAGTAAAAAACGACATTTGAAATACTATATTGCATGTGTTTCTTTTCAACGAAAATTCGAAAATAATTTCAAGGAGAAATTACGATTATTTCTTACCTTTTAGATGAGGTATGAAAGAGTGAATTGTGAAGAGTAATGATAAACGGGAAAATAAAAGTGTCCAGGGATGGGAATCGAACCCACAGTGTTCCGCTTACCGGGCAGGTGCCATGTCCACTAGGCTACCCTGGGTATATTTTTCCGTTCGTGAATAAATTAATTACATAAATTGCGCATTTTTTTTAATTGCAAAAATCGGAAGATACAATATCTTCAAAAACACCACTAGGGAAAACAACTATCTTTCCCAAAACAAGTTAAAAATACAGATTCACCCCACTTCACCGCCAGTAGCTAATTTAAGTCACAGCCTTCCAAAACGATTACAATCGTTAATATTCGAGGATAAATACACTCCCTCATCTTTCCTTTTACATGCATATTTAATCATCAACAAATCTCTCTCAACAAACGTTACAACACTCACACATCACTTTATCCAATTGGCAACAATTTTTAGTGCGCGACTTAACACACAAATCCAAATCTTGAGCCACACAAGCTCCACTTAGCTCTATATCGTCGCCACAATAATATAATTTCACATTAAGCGTGCCACATCCACTAACAGTCAAATATTCTCTCGATGTGTTTCATACAACAACCACCCATGACTTTATTAAATTTGTTATTCATGGTGAAACAGGTTAGATATGTACCAAACTAAGACTTCACGTGACACCTTTTCATTCACATTTCTCACTTCGTGTCACAGTGCCACACCACAAAACTTTTTCACTTTTCAGGCCAAAGACGCCTTCACGCCTGTGACACCACATCTCAACTCAAAGCGTGTCCACGTTGGAAGTCGCACTTTCACCACACATCTAAACCTGACATCACCGAATAACATTTTTACTAAGTCTAAACAACTTTGAAAACACAACCACTTACGAACATCAAGAAAACTATATTTTCAAATAGGCAAGAAAATTGCCAACTTCAACAAAAGAGAGAAAATCAGTTTCAAGTAAAGGACAAACATAGCACACCATCTACTTATATATTTGCCTTATTCTGTCTGTTTGTCTGTATGTCTGAAGCTCACGGATAGAATGCGCGCCCATTGGCTGCCAGCGAACACGTAGCCTCCCTGCCCCCCTCTAGACAACCCTGTTATCAGCTGTGCGATACATACACCTGCCTATAGCGGCCACTCTAGACAACCCTGTTATCAGCAGTGTGCTACATCCACCTGTCTATACAGACCACCCTGTCTATAGCGGCCACTCTGGACACCCCTGTTATCAGCAGTGTGCTACATCCACCTGTCTATACAGACCACTCTGTCTATAGCGGCCACTCTAGACAACCCTGTTATCAGCTGTGGGATACATCCACCTGTCTATACAGACCACCCTGTCTATAGCGGTCACCTTAGGCAACCCTGTTATCAGCTGTGTGATACATCCACCTGTCTATACAGACCACCCTGACTATAGCGACCACTCTAGACAACCCTGTTATCAGCTGTGTGATACATCCACCTGTCTATACAGACCACCCTGTCTATAGCGGTCACTTTAGGCAACCCTGTTATCATCAGTGTGTTACATCCACCTGTCTATACAGACCACCCTGTCTATAGCGGTCACCTTAGGCAATCCTGTTATCAGCAGTGTGATACATACACCTGTCTATACAGACCACCCTGACTATAGCGACCACTCTAGACAACCCTGTTATCAGCTGCCTGTCTATACAGACCACCCTGTCTATAGCGGTCACTTTAGGCAACCCTGTTATCATCAGTGTGTTACATTCACCCGTCTATACAGACCACCCTGTCTATAGCGGTCACCTTAGGCAACCCTGTTATCAGCAGTGTGATACATCCACCTGTCTATACAGACCACCCTGTCTATAGCGACCACTCTAGACAACCCTGTTATCTGATGTGTGATACATCCACCTGTCTATACAGACCACCCTGTCAATAGCGACCACCCAAGACAACGTTTTTAAAATATATTCGCACTCGGGTAAACCCGGGCGTTGCCCGGGCCATTCGTCTAGTTCCACATGTTTGACCATATCAGAAATAGAACCCCCGGCAATTCCCGTGAAAAACAGGAGGAGTGACCCCAGTAATAGGATCCCCCGAATCTATTTCAGATACGACGCCCCGTCTTCCTCCCCTCACAAGGCCGATCTTGACCGCTAGCTTCATGATCGCCATTTTAAACATGTTTCACACTAACCATTTAGGTTTTCTTACAAATCTCACCAACGCCTTAATCACAACACACACCCAACATACATTAAACATTTTACATGATAATTGATATCACCAATTAAAACAATTTGGTTAAGTCTTATATAGACTTTATGACGCAAAAGAGAAATCATTCTCTACATATCACCTTTTTGGATAAACGAGAACATTGTTCAATTTTCCACTACTTAACATTTATCTAATCATTATAATAATCTTTAATTATATTGTTATTTGTATAAAAACTTGAATAATTATTCTTATTTTTACCTTTCAATTATATAATAAATTTTTTTAATCCAACATGATTTAAAAAAAAAAACTTTAATCAAATTTACTTTTTATTTTCATGATATTATTTTAGTATTGCAAAACATCTAATTGTTTTAAAAATTATTTTTTATTTATTATTTATTATATCTTTTATATATTACATGTTTAATTTTGTCCACTTACACTTTTGTACCTGCAATCATATTACTATATTTCTATTCACTATATTTTATTTGTTTAAATTCTTTTATTATATGACAATGTTTATCATCAACTATCGGGCATCTACAACAATCGTTTTCAACAATCATATTCTTCAACCAATTCCCTATATTTTTCATCACTATCTTTTCAGTCATTGCGTCACATCAACGTAGAAAAACGACAGCACTGCTTGACAATTTATTTTTGATTTCGTTATTTCAACAAACTCTTTGAACACAGTTCCCCAGATTTAAAAATCCCAACTTCTGGCCTGAACACGCTTCAAGAGTTTATTTCATTTCTTCCGCAGAGCACAATCACCAACGCATGCCCAAAGCGTTCACTTTTTTCAACTTTAATTTTTTTTTCTCCTCTAGCGGACCACATTCAACCTTTGATTTCGAGTCAAGTCAGACCACCTACTGTCGCTACAATTCTACTTATCGCATGGCTCTATTTCACTCCTTTCTCAATCATATTAATAAACAACTATTTCTTCAACTTTTAACCCAATACAAAACCCTAAAATTGTGACAAAGCACTGTAACCCTTATATAGGATCGCAAGTGAAACATTGCCAAGGAAGACGCTTAAGTCTATATCCTCGCTTTGCACCTGGATCTGATCATTTGATTGCATGTGTAATGCTTACAATTGCATATTCTTCAATTACTAACCCTTTCCAACGCCCGCCAATATTCTCTTAGAATGTGAATTTTTATGTCATCATTTTATTTTTATCATCATTTTTATTAAACAAACAAAAACGTCATTTTTATTTCACTTTTATATATCCAAACAAATCATCTTGTTATAGCCCTTTTTAGCCCTCACAGTTTAAATTAATTAAAAGAAATTTTAATTACTTACCTGTGTTAAAGAGGCTTTACCCGCTTAAACCCGGATAAACCCTTTCATTCCCGGGGCCCATCAATCTGTAATAAGGTGAGGTCTGGTAGCCTCTGTAGAATCCTGTCGACTAACTTTGTGATGATGAAGTGTTGACTCTCGCTATACTGTGTTGACCGAGAGGAACAGTCAGGATGGGGAGTTTTCCAGTACCTCTCTGCACCTTGTAAGTCCTTTAAAAGTTCTCACAGAGTACAGGCAATCGTGGTCGAGGCAGAGTGGAAAGCTTGGGAATGTCCACACAAAAAACGAAGACACAGTTGCACTAAGAAAGTTCCGTGAACAGATAAAAGTTGAGCTAGGAGCGAAAGATGGGGAGATATAAGTTTCTTACTGATCTACATGATGGATGAGGAGGACCGTGGGGTACAACTGACGCGGGCTCGCACAGATGCTGAACTAACTGTATTTTTGGCTAAAGACGCGGGGGCCTTATATACCTTTCCTGAGAAAGGGGGTTTTGCATTCCACCAGATGTGAAGAGTGTGGGTCGTCTGGTGACATTCTAAACTAGCGCCGTGGCAGTTTCCATTTTTAGACCTTGTTGTGGGAATTCTAAATCTATCTCGATTTTAGACGTTATGACTTCTATCTCTTGCTTAGCTCAACTCTTAATCTATAACAGAGTTTATTTATTTATCCTCAGTTTGTACAAATTACATTACACATGATGATGTAATGACACATGTCAATAATGCGTATAATCATTTACAGATGTGTTTCTATTATACAACATTAAAATCTTGTTATAAGATATATACAATATGGGGTTGTTGGTTTAAATTACCATATATACTATATTAAAATCTACAAGAAATAATATTATTGGGCTTAATAATATTGAATAAATAAATCAATTGTCTGTTGACAGCAGCGCAATTTTTGTTGACAAAAGATTTGGGTAAAAATCATTTGGTAACAGACGATAAATTGAATTGCAGGCGATTCTTTTCGTTGAAAAGAAACACATGCGGGATAGTATTTCAAATGTCGTTTACAATCACAAGCCGCATTATATTATATTGTATTATATTTAGATAGTGTTAAAAAAAGCATCTTCTCTTCATGCAACTAGAAGTTGCTCATGGCTTACACCATCTTTCGGGATAAATATCAAATTATTGTTGATTTTCTATTATTCCAGAATTAGCCAAATACACTCTCTTGACTTGTGACGAGGACCAACAGCCCGAAACGCGTACGTAGTTAACTTTTCTCGATTAATCAAGAAAGGATATTTGGCCAATTCTGGAATAATAATAAAATCAACGATTAGTTGATATATATTCCGACAGATGGCGTAAGCTATCAGCAACTTTTAGTTTCACAATCAGGAAATGTTTTTTTAAATTTATTTATCCACTTGATCCCAATACAATTTCACTTTTGTGCTATTTTCCACATATATAGATAGTGTTTCCTAGAATAAAATATATATCTTCTTCTTTCTTATCTCCACTCAATCACACTAAGGTACCAAGCTTGTAAAGCTTGAGACCTTTGATGGTGTCAGTCGGGGAAGAGTAGAGCT